GAGTTTTTAATAATCTAGATGTATACGTGAAGTTCATTCCGAATTTTGATGAGCTGAAAATTTTCTGGAGATCTCATGGAACCTGAACTGTGACCGATGTTTGATTTCTATTATATAACAGTGAGTTTTTTCAAATGAGTCCTCGTCGTCGTCTTGAGTTCATTCAGGTTGGAGCCCAGCTCCTTTACCCTTTTAGCTGATTTTTGTCGAAGAAGGACAAATGGGTTCATGACTAAGGGGATATTGGCGTTTCGCACGAACCAAGGAGTATTCACAATCATCCTCATTAGTTTATTTTGCAATACCTCCTGAATGGAGATATAATATTGCGCCGCTTGTCCCCAGACGCTTGAAGCATCCATGATGACAGGCTTGAACATGTATTGTAGATAATAATCTTCTTCTCCAAACTCACTTTAGATTTTCTGTTGATCAGAGGATACAGACTTGCCATCCAACCCTCGATCTTTGACTTAACGCACATAATGTGCGGCTTCCAAGTGAGCCTACGGTCTATTAGAAGGCCGAGGTACTTTACCCGCGTTTGCCATTCAATCTTCACCAGAATGTNATTCAATGATATCAAATCACAAAACATTAAAATAAAATAGGTATTTTGGAACAAACTCAGTGATTTTCTGGAGATTATTTTCAAGAATTATTTTGGACAAGAAAATCTTCAGAATATCAATGAAATTGTTCCGAAGTACATATTTTATTTTGATGTTTTGTCATTTGATATTATTCAATATTGAGTTCTTGTTATAATACAGTATAATTTTGAGTAATTTTCGGTGTTAACAAAAAATAAAAATAACTTTTTACCAAAAACTTTGAAAATTATTTTCCTTTTCAAAAAAATTGACCGTGGTTATCACCATAGTTGTGTAATTTATAATATTGCAGGCTTTTGAAATAAACCATCATATACAGGATGCTGTCTATTAATCGTTTTGGCAATTTTTATTTTCGTAGTCTCCATTTTAAAAAAATGTGTAAAAAAAGAAAACTCAACTCAGGTGGCCATGACTTCTAGATGTATTTTTCAATGCTGAAAACCTTTTCTGAATAACATTTCCAAATTTTTTTTTAAATAAGAGTACTTTACCACTGTCTCAAAATCAAATATTTGAAGGCTCCTCGTATATAACATTTGTTATACTGTATTTCATTGGTGCATGTTCAGTTTTAGGGGATGCACAAACTTTCATTATGAGTAACTTTCAGTCGAAAAACCCTTAATAAATAAGTTTCCCATATGGTGCATACTTTAGGGATGACACTGTATATTCAAATACAACTTTTCAAATACAAATTGTTGAACATCAAAACTGAAAGCAAGTTTAATTTCATTCAATTTAGTCATTTACTATTTTGACTACTTTCTACAGGGTGTTCATTAAATATCCTATTCTGAGGATACTTTGTCTTTTGATGATTTTTCATAAGGCGCTTTCTTCCGAAGATACGGAGCGAAATATAATTTCGACAATAACAATTTTGGTAATTTTAACATTATTAACGTAGCCGAAATAAAAGTATAGCGTACTACACTGGACCTACAAAATCTAACAATTCCGTTGGTACCTATCAACAACATTCCGATTGCTAAAAACGGCTGCAGACATTCAATTTGAATAGTATGTCTCGTAAATGATCCTGGTGTTTTTGAAAGAGTTCGGGAGTCGATGAAGAGAAGTTCTTGTGAATTAAGAAACATTACATGTAATTTTTGTTAATGAATTGTTATAAACTACCACTGAAAAATAATATGCCGACGCCTATGTCTAGGCGGGAATTCCTTCTCTGTGCTGTTTCAACTAGTTTTGGAAATACTTTACAAGGAAGTATTCATAAAGTTCAATATTATATGCCCAGACACATCGAAAGTTTCTGGCAAAACTTGGGGTTTAGTTCCCAAACAAATCTATTTTATTCATTCATTTATTTATTTGTTTACAAACTCTACAGACCATGGCCCATTTATAGAGTAGGAAATAGAAGTAGGAAATACAAATAGATTTGTCAATACAACAAAATAAAAAAAAATATTCAACAACATTTATTTATTTATTTTTATAATACATCCAACAGGCAAAGGCTCATTAAAAGAAGTATACCTTAATATTTACTTAGGAACTAATCTATATAAACTATTTCTGAATTCATGCAGATAGGAAAAATAATTCTATTTATTGTATTTATTGACACTTCGGCACATAGAGGTTGGGTACATTAATGAGGAATGTGACATTTGATCTGGACGTATATCGAGGGATATTAGGATTAATTTGGGGCAATAGAGTTGGTGAGTCTATGGCACCATTGATTAGTTTATATTTGGAAATAAAATTTATTCAGAAGACAAATGTATTCATGATTCCTTATCGGATAGTTTCCTGGTTTCTTATACTGAGCAAAGCATCAGTGTATTAGGATTCTAGACAGAACCACAATATTCTAGTTCACTACGTACCAAACGATAGTAAACCGACCGAATACATTCAAATGATCTGAACTCTCTGCAATTTCTTATTGCAAATCCCAGCGACTAGCGACTTAGAAACTCTCTGAACAGTACTTTCAATGTGCGCATTAAATGAAAGTCGATATTAGTAATTGTATAATTGGACTGTTACGGATTCAATATTTGAGTAAATGTTATAATTTCACATTTTCCAACATTGAGAAAGAGTTTATCCTCAATACACCTATTTTGGAGTGAGTTCAAATCCCTCTGGACCGGCCATCATTGATAATGCCCGACGGCCCGTGGTCCATGAAATTAGTCAGTGTTTGAGATAGCTTGAATTTATCACTTGGACCAGGCAGTATGATTAATTATCTACTTGTAGCCGGGCAATGTGATGAATTGGTACTCGACAAACCTCGTCATAGCCAATGTCGAAGTAGGTTTAAAATCAGTCTTGCCATCATTTGACGGGTTAACGGAGATAGTAAGTGAAGATAACCTTGAGGCAATGTTGAAAGATGGTGATTCCGGTGAAGGTCAAAACGTAATTGTGGACAGAGCGGATGATGCCGTAAACGAAGACATCGATAACATAGATGAAAACTCAGCCGCGGTTACTGGTTCTATTTCTGTTACTAAACACGATATTTTAAACCAACTGTACTCCAGAAATGAGTTCACTGTGTGTAAAGAAAAGTTCATTTCGATCGACGATGTTCCAATAGTTGATATTACTCTTCGAGAATGTGCTGGAAGAGACTCTCATTTTGATGGACAAGGCTTTCAGTATTGTAACTGTAGTGGTGACTGCAATTCAAAACGTTGTAAATGCAAGAATCAAACATTCTTTGCAATTTCAAATGTCACAAAGGCTCATCTTTCAAGAATAAATAATTCTAAAATAACTTTCTTGGGCAGTCCTTAATTATTAGCTCTTTCTGTTGATTTTTCTTAGTTTACTAATTTTTGAACTATTGTTTTTAAGTAATATTTTTAATGTATAAATCTGAAAATTTTGTTGTTTCTGTATATTTAATAGAATGATGATCAAACATAAACAAATTATTTGAAGTATCAACTTTCGATCATATTCACAATAACGAAATTTGAGGACTAATGAAATTATTTACCACAGAAATCTTTGGATATTACTGACTCACCACACGAATTTTTAACGTTCTATGCAAATAATGAAATATCAGATCAAAATTTGTATTTGAGGAAGTTGATAATTTATTCATTTTCTATAAGAATGGAGGCTGCCGGTTGCGATGTCTCGAATATACAATTCGATTATGCTGCCCTCATGTAATATGGTATACAGGGTGTAACTGAATAAGTGTAAAACATTTAAGGAGGTGATTCCTCATCGAAAAAAAGATAGGATCTTTCATATAAAGGAACTCCATTGGAGTATCCCTTGTTAAGATACAGCCCCTTAAAAGGGGTACATAAAATTTGTAAAACAATTTTTTTCACAAGCACTGAAAAAGTTACAATATTGAAATTGACCTGACGTTTTGTACCACCAAAACGACACTTAGCCAGTAATTTATTTGATTTACCCTATGATTGTAAGGGGTGGAAAACGCAACCCCTAAAATTTATTTCTAATGTAACTTTTTGTCTTATCATTTGTTTACCATCTAGAAACTCATTTCCGATAGCCTGTTTTATTCTAAACAAAAAATGTCTCCTGGGTTTTTTGCCCAAAATAAACCAGTTCGTAGCAAAAAATTATTTTACGAACAATTACAGAGATACATCGTCATAAAAATGTGAACTGGATTTATTGTTATTTTGTAGTTAGTACCTACATTAAATGATTAAAGAGTAATGAATAAATAAAACACACAACATGTAGAAATCATAGTAAATATTCAATATGTATAAAACAATATGCATAAAAACATATCCCTTCTGACGCCCAAAGGAAATTCCTCCAGCAGTACTGGATGCACTTCTCTTAAAAATTGAACGTATGTCTCACCATTTAATTGAGGAGGTAGACAATGAGGCCCAATTAAATCATCCCCAATAATTCCCAGCCACACGTTGAGAGCAAACTGTTCTTGATGGTTAGTTTCGACAATAGCGTGAGGGTTTTCATCAGCCCATGTAACTGCAATTGTTTGATTTTGTTAGATTTCATTCGCGAATTCGACACAATCAACCATGCATTATTATCAAAAATATGATCACATATAGACAGTGCGGTTTCACTGATTTGATCGTTCTCGTCAGTAAGAGGTCAACATAGATTGTGTCGTATCACAATATATCTCATTACACTCTGTGTTCCACAAAGATCTATTTTGGGCTCCCTACTCTCCGACATATTCACCTCAAATTCAATCAACAGCCTTCAGTACTGTGAAATATGTTTTTATGCTGATGACACTCTACTGTCTGCTGAAATTGGGACACTCAAGTTTTGTAGTCTAGATAATCACTTTTTTACTGGTCTAGATCTAATAACGCTACTCTTGTTTTTCTATCTTGAGTAGTTCACGAATCCAAATATTCATTAGGATGGAAATAACTCACCTCTGCAGAATCCATCTTGTTGCTCTGCTTTGTATCCCCAATCATATTTGGTACCCCGAAAAAATCCAGAGAAAAATGGAATTTCTGTTAGATGGTTGGCCTCTTCTCCTGCCTCAAGTAAAAGAACATTCCATTCTGGTATTTCAGACAATCTATTAGCTAAAACTGAACCTGATGGTCCAGACCCCACTATGATGAAGTCATATTTTGCTTTCGAATCTGAAAAAATAATATGGTACATTTCATGACGTTGAATGACTGAAATGATTTCCTAACGAATCGATACACTCAACAAGTGATGTATGGGGACATTGAAAATATATGCTGGTTAAAACTATTTGGATATACTCTGAAATGGGAATATATTTTTTCCATATTGGGAGCATCGTTTTCTTTTCCAAATTCTAATCATATATATTGGAATATTTTCTGCGAAGTGGTAATATTAGCCACAACAAAACTTCTCCTTATCATGATTTCACAAGCAAAACGTCGTCAGCCTGATAGGCCAAAAGCGGCAAATTACATAAAAATGTCAGACATGAAAACGTTGCCGATTATCGAAGAAATTTAGGGTGCATTTTAAAAACTACCTGCTACGAATTGATCATGCGCGCTGTGATTTATTACTGAAAAGTGGGGATACTTGGACTACTGCTTTTAGCTATACTGTGGTGACACATCACACCACTCATATACCAAACCAAACCAAAACCTTTATTGTCCTATTGGGGTTCATAATACTAACAAAAATCTATTTACAATATGTACAAGTTCATTCTCCCACATGCGGGAGTCTGGTTAGAGAAAAAAAAGGTGAAAGGTATAGGAAAGGGGAAATGTCAGGAGGATGACTCTACTGTTGAGCTGAGTAAGATGTCAGCGGAGGCCCCTTCCACAAGTGAAAGCAGCCTACGCTGGTGTTAGTGGGTAGCTCTCCACTTAACAGAATTTCGCTTAAGCTTCCGTCGACGCATCCCTTCCTTCCGCGAGAGTTCTTCTTGCGGTGCGTTTTCGATATCGTTCTCATTTAACCTGTGTAAGCTAGGGTTAGTTGTCCGGAACCTCCTGTCGAAGGCTTTTTGAATGTCTGGCAGGACCACAACTGTGTTCTTCTCCTGATGGAAAGATTCCTTCATCTCGTAAACAACTCGTATCAGTTGGGAGGTCGTATTCAGACCTCGTCGGAACCCGAAATACTCCTCTGGGACAAGTTTCATCGGGCGATAGCTATCTATCAGTTATGTAGCTGTGCTAGCCTTTCGGGCACCACCTCCGTTGATGTTTACCTATTGCATTGGAAATATGCACTAACTACACAAGTCCTTCGCGAGGGAAATTGCGAAGTATAAACGCCTGGATTCCACCAAGCCCAGGGGCTTTGTTTTCCTCAGATGCTTGATGCTATCTGCAATCTCACCGTAGCTAGTAAACCACCCTACTGGGGTCTTTTCCATTATGAGCAGAACAGGTCTGCTCCAGACCATGTTGGCGACCCTGGTGGTATTCACATGCTCTATGCAGTCGTCGGGTTTCACAGGGTGGCGCTTTCCACCAAGCATGCGGCAGCATATAAATGGACAAGCATCGACAAAAATGACTTCAAAGATTGCAAATGCGTCAATAAAGTTATCCTGTTCCTGATATCGCTGAAGGTAGTTCGAAGTTGAATCAAAATCTAACTTCAGGAGCCATCTTGTCGATGATATATAACGTAGTTGAAAGTCGTTCAAGGTTGAATTATGCAATTCCAAATGCACCTCAAAAAAGTGCGTGATGTCAAGTTCATTTTGAGTTATATGTGGAAAGCAACCTTAGAGTTACTTTCTAATGGCGTTCTAGGGCCTTCAAGCTCAAGTTCAGCGTTATTTGGAACATGAGATGTCAAGGAATGGAAGAATATTCCGAAATCAGCCTGAATAAAATACTGTTATATAATTGACTTGGATTACATCACTATATATTGTTTATTTCTTACCATAATTTCTGATTTGCGGGTAGAGAGGGTGAATCAGTGGCCTATGTTCCGTTAAATTCAGCAAAAGGTTCATCATATTTCCTATCACGTGATGATCTCCATTGATGACTGGTAGGAAAACAATCAACATCGCTTGTTGGAAATAACATGTTTGCTGTAACAGTATGTTAATCAATCTAACAAAAGTACTCCTTTCACACAACAATTACCAAAATTAAATGAACTAGATAAAAGAAATGAATTTTTCATTACTGAAAACAATCAACATCGCTTGTTGGAAATAACATGTTTGCTGTAACAGTATGTTAATCAATCTAACAAAAGTACTCCTTCCACACAACAATTACCAAAATTAAATGAACTAGATAAAAGAAATGAATTTTTCATTACTGAAAATATTAGTTATAATAATTCATTAAAGTGCCACCTCATTGTACTTTTTTTCATGAACAGTTCACGAAACACGTGTTGCGTGAATCTTACAATGAAGTTTTACTTGAATAAGTTAATTATCGGCCACCATTATCAAGTTTCAATATTTTATTGAATAATTGGATATAGATCATAATAGTATTGTCTCCGTAATGATGATACAATTATAATTAAAATAATACATTGAAAATGGTTATCCTTTTTTTTACAATTCATTGCCGTTCTTCCACCATTTGAAAACGTTCAATAAAAATGTTTCTCTTTCTAATCATCGATGTGTATGAAACACCATACATATTTTCACTTGAGCGGAAAATTTCTTGTTTCACTATCAATTATTCTACTGAATTGGTGAAGATTTGGTTGACTAACACGCAATGTGACTTGTGGGGAAAAAGATCTCGATGCTGCGACATCAATTTTCATTATTTTCCGCATAAAAGTCCACTTAAAGAAGATTGCGGTTGCTGTACCACAGTACCAACCGTCAGCGGCCATGCAGATCCTTTTAGATCGACCTTCTCTCCACATTTTTCTGGAAAGAGAGGCTAGATGTACTGCATACAGATTTGTGCACATTGCCAATTGCACAAATCAATTCAATGCAGAGTGCAACAAACTGTTGGTTAACATTGGAAGTCACAGCATTCTGGAAATGACCTCTGACTTCATGTCTCCAACTGTCAACTACGAACTGCCTTATAAAGTACTATTCCCGGGTTGAGAGGACTGGATCCTCCGGGAGAAGGAAATATTGAGAGCAGATAGTTGTTGGTTCACAGATGGATCAAAAACACTTCCGTTTCTGGTGCAGCTGTTTTCAGTTGTAGATCCAAGACAGAGTTATCTACCTGCCTAGGAACTTATGCGACTGTATTTCAAGCGAAAATTTACGCTATTGAGTTGTGTGCGGACAGATTGGATAAATTCAACCTCACTCACAAGTCAATAAAAATATTCTCGGTCAGTAAAGCGGCGTTGGAAGCTCTTGGCTACTACCGAGCAACGTCTAAATTGGTAGCAGACTGCCAAAACCGACTCTCCTCGATAGGCAGATTTAACAGATTGTCTCTGGTCTGGATTCCTGGCCATACTGGCCTGGAAGGCAATGAAGTTGCGGACTCTCTTACAAAAGAGGGTGCTGCAAGCGGCTTCATTGGACCAAAACCTGTCATTGGCATCGCTTTGGGCTTTGCCAAACGAACCCTGAACACCTGGATGGCAAGAAGATTTATGGACTTCTGGCCAGGATTGGCTCACTCAAAGGCGTTCATTCACCCTTTGATGCTTGATTCCAAACAGTTGTTGGACTACAGTAGGGATAAACTACGATGTCTAACAGGCCTTCTTACAGGTCACTGTCATTTGAATCATCATATGCTTGGACTGTCGGAAGACAGTGTGTGTTGCCTCTGTCTGGAAAATGTTGAAACAGCAGAGCATATACTTTGTGCCTGCCCCGTTGGGGACCGAATCAGGTTTTTTGAGTCCGGCAGATCCGAAAGACCTGACCTGAAAGACCACTCAGCATACAAACTAATCGGCTTCGTTAAGAAGCTGGGTTTTTTGGCCGAGTGTGAATAGGTGTGAGCCACAATAAACCCTTGCAGGTTGCGGTGGAGGGTCGAATAGACCGACTCACTTTAGACCTACCTATCTACCTACCTTCCACTTAAAGTTGTAGTGGAAACTAGTTTAGGATTGAAAGAGTATGACATCAACGAAAGTTCTAATATCTACAAAACCTAATTCACCACAAACCACAAAAGAAACTAGTGATTTTGTATTCGAAAATGTCGGCATATGATCAGTAGACATTTCAAACATTTGATAAAAATAGTAAATCTAGAAACATATTATCAACTTCAATAGTGCTTATTGGTTTGTTTTTCATTATCTTTCGACTCTTTACTGCCCCAGGTTATGTGATCAATTCGTTGTTTTTGGCGTTGTTCGATATAAAGATTTGTTGAAAGTTGGGTACTAATGAATGTGACATCGTTATAACTAATCGTTTCAATCACAGCCAGATAGATAAATGAGTATATTCTAATGTGATAAATGCTCATTTCTGATTCATTTATTTTCTGAGATTTTTTTGGCAGCGGCTGACACAGATGCAGATTTCTCCACATCAAATTTTGAATATCAAGGCATGTCCGAAAAAGCTGAAGTTCTACTCCGAAACAAGGCAGGAGGCTAATACTTTCGGCAGAAGACCTTTCAACTATCCTGAAATTGTGCGAGATTTGCTCGAATAGTGAGCCATTAAAAAACAACAAGAAGCTTCAGATTAGGCTTATATCACAAAACAAATTAAAAGAATGAACTGGTATGTTAATAGACCATAAAAAATAACCATGTGAAAATATAACATGGGAGTAAAACAAAAAAACAATTAGCAAAAATGTTCGAAAGGTAAGACCGAAAAAAAAAGCACGTCTGAAATAGCTAATTCTCAAACAGAAATTATCTCTTTATCAACTTGTGAACGCCGTACTATTTTTTAACTTCGAACCCGTGTGTACTAATTGCTATGATATTTACAGATATGAAATGGGGGTAGTGTAATTTGTTGCCCTTCTTATATTGTCCCCAAGATGAAACAACAATAAGACAATTACTACAAAATTGAAATGACATCCTCTCTCTCTCTTAACTCCTATCGCAAAATCCTTTTTCGCAATCCTCTTCCGCAACTGACTTTCGCGACCATTTCGCAAACCTCTTAAGCAACTGTCCGATCGCCACTGTCTCTATTAACTCTCTACCGTCCCCTGGTTGTTCTGATGTCTGTTTCTAATTCTCGAATTTTTCAATAACCCTTCCTACTCAAGACGTATATCTTTTTTTCATCGAAGTCATTGGTCAGTTTTTATTTTAAATAAATTTTCAGGCCCACCTATTGAGATATGGCCGAACTTCCTGTCCACGAAGCTGAAATGCAAACTCGTAGCTTGCATTTTCGCGTTCCCAGTATTATATCAACAAGATACGTTTGTTTAGTTTATCCTGAACGAAACATAACCTTCATTATGCCGCCAAGTTTCAACCATCATAAATTAAATTCAACGCTTACTCTGTTGGAAAAGTATCGATATCAAAAAACCGGATGACCGACCCCGATCTTTATAGATGAAATTATATTTTTCGTTAACTATCGCAATGGCAGTTATTACAATATACTCTACTCTACTCTACTCATGAGCTAAAGGGGGAACACCATGGACAATACCCAAAGAAGAAATCATCGCGAACATAGAAGCCGACATTGAAAAACTGCCTGCTGATATTGAAGAAGAATTACGAAGCTAATCTGCAAGAATCCTGAGAAAATGCAACATTTCAAGGGGTGAAAAAGCCGCCATAAGAAGTCTCAATACTGACGAAAATATCGTTATTCTGTTTGCTTACAAAGGAAACGCAACAGTAGTCTTAAACACTTGGGACTACAAAAGCAAACTCAATAACTTCGTCAGTCAAGAAACCTACAGAAGATTACAAAAAGATCCAACAGAGTAAGACTTAAGAAAAACCAATCAACTGATGAAAGGAGTCTGGTGGTAATGAAGATCCTTGAGTTCACATATCGGTGAATTATGAAAAATAGGGATGGAGTCTGCTAAACTCCACTTCATTCAGGTTATCGGACTTAAAACTCTAACTTATGTAGAATTTATTATCATCATGATTCAGGTAGAGGCGGTGTTGAATTCACCACGTTTCGAAACGCAACTGACTAACTGGCCAATACCCGCTTCGCTACATTATTGTGATTGTTATTCTGACTTCCCAACCAAGTCTGCAGCCTCCGCATGAAGGCTCTGAATTGCATATGTAGATTCCGGATTCGGACGACTCTTTTCCTCTTTATTTTTTATAGATGTGCAAAAATGATACAGTCCACTCTCATGTCAACTGCACTTAATGGTTGTCTTCTGGAATAATTTCATCAAATGGATTTGGGAAGGAATGAAATTCATTCAACTTACGGTGAAAATAATTGAAACACATAATAATCATTATTATTTTGAGAATGATGCTTTTTGTTTATTTATGGATCAATTCATCCACATTCAATAAAATGTTTACTCTATTCTAATAGATATATAGATCTAAAAGAGTATCACAGGTTTATCAATTCGTGGGAGTATATGTATGTATAACTGAGCATTTAAAAAAAGTGTATGCCAGATATAAACTCATTTGTCTGAGATATGTAAATATTAAAATACAATAGAACAAAGTATCTGTCCTCTTCTGGTTTCTGAAATCTTCATGAAATTGCCTTAAAAAATTCTTGCATCGAATATGGTTCCATGTTACACAATAAATCGAAAACAAGTTTCTTCACTGATTGTCAGTGGTTAATGATTAATTTGATGATTACATACGAAAATAACACAAACATAAATATAAATCATATATAAATCATTTTGTCTATCAAATCAAACAGTGTTGTTTCTGTATTTTTCCTTTGAAAAAAGCGTGTTGAAAATCATCGAAGTTAGAATAAACTGTCAAAAAACGGCCTATGATTACCCAAATAATTCTTTCCTCCCTTTTTGAAAATGTTAACAGTATTGCTAGCTTCTTTTCTCCTTTTATATAAAATGGTAACACCATTGCCAGCTTCATTTAATCTGGGAATATTCCTGACTCTAAACGAATATTAAAAATATTTGGCTAGATCTACATAATTCATGTTACATGAATTAATGA